AGCGGATCTACAACGAGGTTGCTGCCCGAGTTGACGAGCGCCAGACCCAGTTGACTCAGCAGACTGGGGCTCCGGTCGTATTATCCACTCTTGAAGTGGATAAGATTTACGAGGAGGTAAATAATTTTAATATATTAATTTTTATTATTTATTTAATTTTATTGCTTCGGTTATTAATATTTTAATTTACAGGTCGTTCAGAGGAAAAATGGCCGTGTTATCGGGATTGGCTCGGTTAATTTACAGGTCGTTCAGAGGAAAAAGGACCGTGTTATCGGGATTGGCTTATGTTCACCAACAAGCCGATGACAATGCGCACCTACGGACGGAGTTGCAGACGACGCAGACGGAGTTGCAGGCGACGCAGTCTCATGTGCGTACGCTCACGGGTATCCTCGACGTTGTGGCGCTAACAAACCCGCAACTGGCGGAAGTGTTACGTCAGAGACGGGAAAGCGGAGCCCTTCCATCCCAAGAGCCTCCACCATCTCAGTCACAGCCGGCATCCAACGACCCTGGAGACGACTTCGTGAACCAATTTGATCAAGACCAGAATCATTTTTAGTTTTTTTTTAGTTTTTAATTGTATATTATGAATTTTAAAACTTATTAATTGTATATTATTTAGTTATTTATAAATATTTATTTATTTTTTTTTTTTAATTTTTTTTTAATATATATAATTTTAATTTATAAATATTTTTTTAAATAGGAAAAAACTGTTTCGAAGTAAAATCCTCGTAAATGTTTCGAAGTAAATTCGTCGTAAACGTTCCTAGCAAGTTCCTCGTAAAGAGTCTACTACGAGTTTACGAGGAAACTGTTTACTATGCTCTTACGAGGAAAGTGTACGTGGAGCTTACGAGGAAAACTTTTCCACGGCTTTACGAGGAAACCTTTCCTCGTAAAGTAGCTAGGCTTTTACGAGGAAAATAGCCTTTACGANTTCCTAGCAAGTTCCTCGTAAAGAGTCTACTACGAGTTTACGAGGAAACTGTTTACTATGCTCTTACGAGGAAAGTGTACGTGGAGCTTACGAGGAAAACTTTTCCACGGCTTTACGAGGAAACCTTTCCTCGTAAAGTAGCTAGGCTTTTACGAGGAAAATAGCCTTTACGATGAACGTCTTTCGACGAAACACGTTTACTCGCTATTTCCTAGTAAAGGGCCATTTACTAGGAAATAACGAGGAAAACCCGTCGTAGTAAATGACGTGTTTTCTTGTAGTGATAATTCATTTATAAGAAATAATGTATAAATTTTAGAAATTTTATCTGGTATTTTTCTGAAAATTTTACAATTTTATATCAGTTTTCCTAATTTTATACAAATTGGTTTAATATATTTTAGTTCAAATAAATAAATGAAAATCTATCTAAGATTATAATTTTAAATATATATATATATATATATTTATATTTATATATTCGTAAATATAATTCAGAAAAAAATAAATGGTTTGTTTTATCTTACTTTTCTATTTAATTAAATAAAAACTTATATTAATATATTAATATAAATTATAAAAATCATTTAAAAAATAATTTGAATTAAAATTTTAATTTTGTAGGAATCCACCTAGTCACTTCATGTTTTATTAGGCGCGAGGGAGGCTTCAAATAATACGTAATCCACAAAGCCTCGGAACAAATCATCTGGAAGTTCCAGAACAGTGACTTGGGCCTTATTGGGCCATTTTAAATGATGGATTAGCTATTAGAAAATGCATATTAAACAGTACTTCGTGGACTGTGGAATTGGATGGCCATAATTATCAAAAAGTTAGTTTTGATTATCCAAAAGGCTAAAGAAGATTCAAGCATTAGCAGCAGTGAAGAACGAAACACTTTTGAATTTTGATCACATCTGGTGGTGCAATTTACAAGAAAAAATATACTCTATTATAGTCATTAAATAGGATTCCATCATTAAGGTACATTTATTAATAATTATAATTAACTCGAAAGCTTTTATTTATTTTTTTCTCCAACGTAGTTTTCTCTGAACACGCCTCTGTCTTTACGGTGGTGTCTCCGGTTCTAATCACTGACATCAAGCGAACCAAACAGAGAGTGTTCATTTACCACACACACACAAAAAAAAAGATCATTTCTTTTCGATCTGTGAGATCTCAGAGAAACAAGGTATTAATTATGATTATGCTCATGCTTCATGTGTCCGATCTGATCTACTTTTGTTGGTTTCATAATAAAGATGTCTCCCTTTTTTTCATTCGTAAATTATGAAACTTTGCTTTCGTTCGTTAGCCAAAATGTTGTGTATGTGTTCCTTTAATTAGTACCATTGAGGAGATGGGTTTAGTGATAGGATTAGGCTTTGAATCGGTAATCATTTAGTTAATGCATGTTTTTGTTTTGGTGTTTTGCCAATTTTAGTTCTAATGGGACAGTGTTTTGTTAGGTGAAGAGATCCTAATTGTGTGTTACAATGATCATTAGTTTATGAAAACAAATCAACATATACTTTTGGTGTCTCTTGTGATGGGATTAGTGTGTAAATTGATGTTTTTGTTATCTTCTAGTGGGACAGTGTTTTGTTAGGTGAAGAGATGCTAATTGTGTGTTACAATTATTCTTGAGTGAAAAATGTACTTTTGGTGTCTCTTGTGATGTGATCAGTGTGTAAAATCATTTTTTTTCCTTCTAATTTGCTATTTACTCCTTAATGAGTAACTATTCTGAAAGGACCACACTATACATCGAGATACCTGGATATATATATGGCTTGATCTGTTGATTATCTCGTAGTTAATTCTAGATTTTTTTTTGTTTTGTTTTGCTGACATGTGTATGATGAGTGATGTGATCTTTCTTATCTGTTTAGGAAGAATCTATGCTATCCCCTTAGTTTTTTTTTTTTCCTTTCGTTTTAATTATATCTTGTGTGATCTCTCATTAGGTGTAACGGAATGAAACCTTACAGGCTTAATAATTGGAATTTGTATAGGATGAAAAGAGGAGCACTTAGACGGAGGGCTAAGGATATCTCTCTTGTGCTTATTGTGCTTGTTTGTGCAACACTGGTCTTGTGGTCATGGGATACAACTCCATCCTCTGCCTTTCTTCCTCACGAAAGTCACTTTCTTAAGCTGGAACCAGGTTTGACTTTGACACTATTCTCTCTTTCTAGCACATTTTGTTAGGTCGTTTCAATGCTGGAACTATGTTTGGTTGTTTCTGTAAAGCTTCATGACAGTGAAATGTTTTTATTTCTAGTTTCCACTGTATGTTTTATCCCTGTAAAAGTATGGATATGCATATTTTCCTTTACTCGTTGTTTCTCCTGTTTATGTTTCATAAATTACTATAGGTGTTACAGTTATATCCTGGGGTAATCTGACCTAGTTCTTTGTCATTTGCCAGAAGAAAAGGTTGAAAGAATACCTACTGAAGTGAATACTGAAACTAAAGATAGCTACTCATCAGCTACTCCGTTTATTAACAAAGGTAATGTTCAATCATTTACCGCATCTTGCAATCTGCTGAAATTTTTTATTTTTTTAAGTCTTTGAATGAGGTTTAGCTGTCTGTTGTGTTCTGAAATCCCGGAAACTAAGCTTGGCATAACTTTATTCCTTTTACCGGATTTTCTATAACAGAGCAAAGTAAAGAGGATCCAACCGATGATAAGGATACAAAAGAAGAAGAAGAAGTAGAAGAGGAACAAGTGGAAGAAGTTACTGTTGGTGAGACGAACCAAGAGAAGACATCAACTATTGAAGAAGAACAGGCTGAACATGAAGTTACTGTAAGTGAGCCAAAATATCAGAAGATACCAACTAGTAAAGAAAATAAATTAGAACATGTGAAACAAGAGGTTGCTGCTGGTGAGGCCGATGCAAAGACGACAGATATTGAAAACACTGATTCAGATCCAGAGAAGAAAACTCTTGCAACAGATGAAAAGAGGACTGAACAGAGAGTAGCCAAGAAAGATGATGATAGTAGTTCAACACATCGCATCGCCAATCAAGGTGAAGCTTCCTGTTTTATACATCCTTGGTGTTATGATGGATGAAAATATCTTAGGAGTGTTCATCATTCTGAAACTATCTCATCTCTAAACTTTATAGATGCTGTCTTATTATTGATTCTGTCTTATGTGAAATAACGTGTTTTATGATTATTTTCTTCTCAGCTTGTAATTACGCGAAAGGGAAATGGGTTGTGGACAAGCACCGTCCTTTGTATTCAGGCTCTCGTTGCAAACAATGGCTTGCTTCGATGTGGGCCTGCAGGTTGATGCAACGTACAGACTTTGCCTTTGAAAGGTTAAGATGGCAACCTAAAGATTGCTCTATGGAAGAGTTTGAGGGTTCCAAGTTCTTGAGAAGGTAAAAGCCATTCCATTTCAATGTAGCCAAGTGTTCCCATCAATTTCTTTAGTAACAGTGCGTTGGCTCTCTTTTTTTTCCTCAAATGCTCTCAGGATGCAGCACAAGACCCTAGCCTTTGTTGGAGACTCGTTAGGAAGACAGCAGTTTCAGTCTATGATGTGTATGATCACTGGAGGCAAACAGAGGCTCGATGTCCTTGACGTGGGACCAGAATTTGGGTTCATAAGACCCGAAGGTGGAGCTCGTCCTGGTGGCTGGGCTTACAGATTCCCAGAAACCAACACAACGGTCCTATACCACTGGTCATCTACCCTCTGCGACATACAACCTCTCAACCCCTCAAACCCTTTAACTGAACACGCTATGCATCTCGACCGCCCACCAGCTTTCTTACGCCAATACCTTCACAAGATCAACGTGCTGGTAATGAACACAGGTCACCACTGGAACCGAGGGAAGCTCAACGGCAACAGATGGGTGATGCATTTAAACGGAGTTCCCAACACTAACAGGAAGCTAGCCGCTCTTGGCAACGCCAAAAACTTCACAATCCACAGCACAGTTAGTTGGGTTAGCTCTCAGCTTCCTAACCATCCAGGTCTCAAGGCATTCTACAGAAGCCTTTCCCCAAGACATTTTGTTGGAGGAGAATGGAACACTGGAGGGAGCTGTAACAACACAACACCTATGTCTATAGGGAAAGAAGTTTTGCAAGAGGAGTCAAGCGATTACAGTGCAGGTCATTCGGTGAAAGGCACTGGGGTTAAGCTTTTGGATATAACAGCTTTATCTCATATTAGAGATGAAGGACACATATCACGGTTTAGTATCTCGGCTTCAAAAGGAGTTCAGGACTGTCTCCATTGGTGCTTGCCTGGTGTTCCTGATACGTGGAATGAAATCCTTTTCGCAATGATATAAGCTTTTTCAAGTTACAATATTTTTTGTATCAGCAGAAAAGTTCAGAGAAAGGGCTTTGAGGTATAGATTTTATAGTATTTATTCTTGGTATAGGCTTGGTTCCGACCATATATTTACAGAACAGATTCTAACTCAACTTTGTCTTTTGAGCCGATTAATAGAAATTTTATGTTCCTTGAATCGTTTATTGTGTTCTCTGAACGTTTAAGTTTGGATTCTGTGTAAAAATGTTTCGTTTAAGTTTGGATGCTACCTTCTTAAAGGTGCGGAAATAACCAGAGAAATAACGAACTGTTCAGATCCTTATCAAAAACAATTTGCTATTTTTGGAAAGATAGTCAAAAAAAGACTAAACAAAACGTTACCCTTACCTTTAGGAAACAACAAACACAATCTAAACAAAACTACATCTCTCAACGTCTCATACATCATCATCAAGAACAACAGCCTCTCTTTCTCTCTTGTCCTCCATCCATGGCTGCTGTTCTGATTCCTGGCTTGTTCTTCCTCCTCATCATGTGTCTCTCGATCTCACCTTCATTGCAGCACGTAAGCGAGGCAGAACCGCTCCTGCGGTTCAAGAACTCGGTGAAAATAACAAAAGGGGACCTAAACTCATGGAGATTAGGAACAGATCCATGCAATGGAAAATGGTTTGGGATCTATTGCCAAAAGGGTGTCACAGTCTCAGGCATTCACGTCACACGTCTCGGTCTCTCAGGAACCATCAACGTCGATGATCTAAACGCTCTCCCAAATCTAAAAACCGTCAGGCTCGACAACAACCTCCTCTCAGGTCCTCTCCCTCATTTCTTCAAAATCCGTGGCCTTAAATCCATAATGCTCTCAAACAACACCTTCTCCGGAGAGATCCCTGACGATTTCTTTAAAGACATGACAAAGCTCAAGAGGCTGTTTCTTGATAATAACCAATTCGTGGGGAAGATCCCTACCTCCATCATGCAGCTGCCTCATCTCGAGGAGCTTCACATGCAAGGTAATAAGTTCTCTGGAGAGATACCTCCGTTGATCGAGACCAACAAGAACCTGAAATCACTCGATCTCTCGAACAACCAGCTCGAAGGAGAGGTCCCAGCGAGCTTCTCGGATAGGAAAGATCTTGTTATGAAATTGGATGGTAACGCTAACTTGTGCGGCAAGGCGGTGAACATTGACTGTGAGAGTATCGATCCAAAAGAATTCGGGGGCGATCCCCCGGCCTCCGGGGGATCCAACAGGACCACGATGAACGTGGTCCTGTTGGCCATCACATTTCTCATCATGTGTTGTATTGTTGTTGGATTTATAAAGAAGCAAAACAAGAAAAGAAACTCCGGTTTCCGCAAGCTCGACAAAGAGCGTCCTAGCGATGTCGTGGAGGTCACGGTACCCGAATCCACGACGGTTAAAAGGTCTACAGAATCTAGCAAGAAGCGCGGTGGAAACTCCGAGGGAGGCTCTACCAAGAAAGGCTCGTCTCACAATGGTAAAAGTGGTGGAGGAAGAGGAGGAGGTGGAGGAATGGGTGATATCATAATGGTGAATACGGACAAGGGCTCGTTTGGTTTGCCTGATCTGATGAAGGCTGCTGCTGAGGTGCTAGGAAACGGTAGTCTTGGTTCAGCTTACAAGGCGGTGATGGCTAATGGATTAGCCGTTGTGGTGAAGAGGATTAGGGATATGAATAAACTCGCAAGTGAACCTTTTGATGTAGAGATGAGACGGTTGGGGAAAATCAGACACCCTAATGTTCTTACCCCTTTAGCCTATCATTACCGTCAAGAAGAGAAGCTTGTTGTCTCTGAGTATATGCCTAAGAGCAGCTTACTCTATATTTTACACGGTAATCCACAATGTTTTTTTTTATATATATACTGATTAGGTTAAATCTTGATATGTCTAGACCTAGTTTTAAGCGTCCGCTAGGAACTAGAAAATTGATATAAGGTTAATAGTACAGAAAATTTCTAAGACATGTTGAACCATTTTGGTGGTCAACATAAAAGCTTATTCGAATTGGATAATTTTTTTTCTGATAATTGTCATATCGGTTGATCTGGTTAGTTCCGGTAAGAATACACTTAGTGCTAAAGAGTGGACTAATCTCCGAAGGTCACCACAAAAAAAAAAAAATTGGATAAGTATTGATTTAGCCACTGAACCAAAATGAATCTTTTGTGTTCTTATCTCAATAGGTGACCGTGGGATACATCATTCCGAGCTAACTTGGGAGACAAGATTGAAGATCATCCAAGGAGTAGCGCATGGAATGCAGTTCTTGCACGAGGAGTTTGCGTCCTACGAGCTCCCACACGGTAACCTAAAATCAAGCAATATTCTCCTCAGCGAGACCTACGAGCCATTGATCAGTGACTACGCATTCTTACCGTTTCTCCAGCCAAGCAACGCACAAGCAATGTTCGCTTACAAAACTCCAGAGTTTGCGCAGAGCCAAGAGGTTTCTCATAAGTCAGACGTCTACTGCCTCGGGATTATAGTACTAGAGATCTTGACAGGGAAGTTTCCTTCTCAATACTTAAACACCGGTAAAGGAGGGATTGATATAGTTGAATGGGTGCAGTCTTCTATCGCAGAGCACAAAGAAGAAGAAGTTATCGATCCGGAGATAGTAAACAATGCTGGTTCGGTGCCACAGATGCTGGAAATGTTGCGGATTGGGGCTGCTTGTATCGCAAGTAATCCAGATGAGAGACTTGACATGAGGGAAACTGTTAGAAGAATAGAACAAGTGAAAAAATGATGATGAGATGATGCTTAGAAACACAAAACGTGATCGGAACAGTTAGATATAATACTAACGTGCAAGCAACCAAGAAACAACAAAAATTGGGTACGTAAATAGGAAAGACAATTTTACCTTTTCAGATTGAATATTGTTCTTCAGATCTCGGAAAAACATATTATGTATACTTTTATGTTCCTTGTTCCATAAGTAAACAACTATTTGTTCAATAGCATGACATATATTTGTAGATTTTTTCTCCTATTCGAAAAACGTTATGTAAAACATTTCAGCACTTAGGGAATTTTCATTATAAATTATTCAAGAACATATCTGAACTAACACCAAAATGTGGGCAAGAAAAATCTTTAAAAATTGTGTTGTGCTAGTTTTTTTTTTAAATTTAAGACGGAAAATTTACCACTTACATGTTATACAGCTACAATGTTTGCCATGGTTATTACTTTGCAGATAACTTCTCAAAAAAGAGTATACGTTTAATATTTTTAACATAAGCAACCATACTATATGTGAACATATTCTTAAAGAGGAACATATTGATGGACCCAAAAGACTTGAATATTGGGTAGGTACTCAAATTCTAATAAGAACAAAGACATTACATTTTTGCATGCAAGTCAGTTTTAATGTAAGGACCACAAAGAAATTAGGTTTTGTCTTGTTCATTCTAAATAATTCACTTAGTTAATAACTGGAATTTTATGGGGCCAACAACTCAGCAATGTTGTCCCTCTTTTAGGCTTATTCTCATCGCTGGCTTCTTCCGTATGGGTCATTATTAATTTATTTTTATTTGATGGTTTTCGGATCTTTCACAAGTTGGATTGATGCATAAACCATACACAAACCAACACCGCAACAACCTTTTCTATGATATACAATTATACTACATAACTGAGCTGAAATTATTCGTATATCATTCGAGTTTATACAATATTCACCGCTCCTTTTTTTTTTCCTTTTTGCTAATATTCGCTGCAATTATTTGATATGATGCTTGGAGCACTGATATTCACCTTTCTCCCTAAAACACTATATTCACCTTTCAAAACGTCCACTAAAAGAAAGGAACACAAGAAGAAGAGCTTGAACTTCAAAATTATTTTAATATGCCAATTACCACAAAATACAAAACACAATAACCAAAACAACCAAGAGCATTATTCCATTTTCTCGCCATGTCAACGATCAAGAACTAGCTCTCTCTCTACTATCATTAACCTCCCCTCACCAAAATTCTCATGTTGTTTCATTTCCACCATATACCATTTATATAAGCATACATGTCATAATTATATAAGATATGCTAATTTATTTCGTCCTGCATATGTTGTATGCGTACTTATTTTATTTACCCCCTTTCCCCCCCATACATAAATGTAAACTCAGTACATAAACTCCGGCTAAGTTACTAGAACTCCGGTAGAGAAAATTTGACCAGCGGTGTAAGGAGAGGTTGAGAACTTTGATCTGCATCTCTCTTTCCTTTCAACGTTTGCTATATGACTTGATCGACACTCTGTGCTGCAAAAAGCCTTTTCTCCCCTGCATTAAAAAATATTCAATCAATACTATAAAATTAAAAAAACATACTATAACAGTCTTATATATTTTACATCCAAATTATTTATACCTGTAAATATATATGTCGTGACCATGAAGTTTCTTCCTGCATAAATAACACGAACTGAGGAAACCCAAACCCTTAAACTCCGGCGAGTTCACTGGAGATTCCATACCGACATCGACCATGAAAAGTCTCTCACGACGATCCTCGTTGATCTTACTTGCCAAACACTCAAACCCATCTTTGTCATAAACCCTTGTACTACAAGATCCACTAGGACCACGGTGACACGTTACCAACGTATAATCATCCTCCTCGTCCATTATGAACATCTCCTCGTCTTCCTCTTCGTGGCTCATGAACTGGACCGGCTCAGACCGGTTGGATTGGTTCGGTTCCGATCTCGAAACGCTAGTTACTAGACGAGTGGTTGAGTTCTCGAGTGCGGCTACAATCCCTAGACCAACGGACCCACCAAGGTTGTCCTCGTAGAATCTTTTTGAGCTGTTTCTTTGAGATATCTGAGGGAGAATCTTGAAGTCAAGTGGGCTTTTAGGGCTTGTCATCAAGACGTCAAAGAACGGAGACGCCGTGGTGGCAGATCGGTTCACGCCGACGAGGAGCTCAGATATTTTTCCGATCATTGGATGGGTTCTTTTGCTAAGCATGACGATCTTGGTCGAGAGAAGGGGTTTTGGTCAGATCAACCTTAAAACTTTAAAAGCTGAAGGAAACATAAAAGGAGATGAGAAGAGAAAGGAAGATTGGTGGTGTTTCCACAAAGAAGAGATGGGAGAGAGATGTGTTATTTATGGTGGAGTTGGTGGGAGGGTTAAGAAACTCTACACTACTTTTACTTATTGCAATATTTACAATAGATCACGTAAACTATTCTTATTTTGTGAATAAAACCCTTACTGTTTATCTACGAAAACAATACTATCATATATCTAAGAGCATCCGCAACAAGGAATCCTTAAGAGGAATCCTTAGGAAAAAAAGAAGAAGGATATTTCAGATTATATAAGGATATTTCGGATTATTTCTTTAAAATAAAAAAATATGACCAATCGTGGACCGACACATGGGTAGTGGAGCCCATGAATAGTGTAAGGATCCATCCGAATCAATCCTTACATAAGGATTTTATTCTTAAAATCCTTAACTGTTCATGGGACCCATTGATTATAAAATTAATATTTCCTTAAGGATTTTCTCTAAGGATCATTGTTGCGGGTGGTCTAATGACGTAAACAGGCCACGAGCGTATGAAGCTAATTCGAATCGAAATCTTTTTTATTTCTTTTTGTAAGAGAGAAATGGATTGGCACAAGGTTTTGAGAATATATACGTTATCGATGGAAATGGAATACAAGAAGGGATAAAGAACATAATATATGAACTGATAAATTGGTTTAGAAAGTGTATCAAATGCAGAAATATTTTTAAGTACATGATAAAATCATCAATTATCGTTCTGAAGATAGTCAATGTAATACGTCTTCTAAATAGTTGAAGCAGATACAATTTGGCACTTCTTCATACAAATAATTGTGTGGGTCGGTCTTTAATTGAAAATACGTTACTTAAAATATTCAAAACTATTGGTTTGGAAATGTTTCAACAGCGTTATAAAAATTAGTTTCAAATGCATGCAATCGCAATCATCCAGCCACAAAGACAACGTTTGCAAGCAATTATGTCAAAAACCAAACGCAACCTTCTGTATTTGGCCAGACTTATACAGAACAGCGACACATGCATGGTTTATTTGTTATTCAATAATTAATGAATTTTAGTAGAGTGTAAAATCTGTAAGCTGAATTGACATAAACCCTAAACAAAGTTTATAATAATGGTGTTTAGATTGGAAGGATTCGTTTTTGTAAGAAAATCAACAACAATATATATAATATTAATTTAGGAATCGACTATAAGTCTAACACGTTAAAATACTGACAGGAGTAGTCATAACAGAGATATTAAAACGAATATGAAGATGAGGTTGAAAGAGTGGTCCACACTCCACACTGAGACGCAACACATTTTCACTTTAACAAAAAGACAAACAAACACAAAGCACAAAAGGTCGAGATCAACAATGTCGCAAATGGGTCCCCACAAGCTAATTAAAGAGGATTCGTTACGCACTTTCATGAGATGTGATTACGTGCCATTCATCAACAGCTCCATTGTACACTCCACTATTATTTGCTGACTCCTATTTCTGTTTTCATATGGTCAGATTTCCATACCGAGATTTCTGTGAACAACAAAATATAAAAAGTTATACGAACTATCCTAGTAACTCAGGTAAATAATCCATAATAAAATGTTTTTAAAGCATATATAAATATCTCTATAATATTATTTGAGAAGTCAGTTTCCTACGTGTCGCGTTCACGTTAACTCTCACGATGGTTAATTACATAGATACTCTTAATAAACAAAAATATTAAATAAGATTGATATTAATTATGTATTTCCTTTTCTCATAATAAGATTTTACTTAATTTTTTAATTTATGTTTACTTTTTAAACACACATATACAAATTAAGAAATACTTATGAAATAAAAATGTTTATATATAAACGAAATTAAATATTTTTTTCGAAATTTTCATAAAACAACATTTTTAGTGTTTATTTAAGAGATATTAAAAAGTAAAAGAATTTTTTTTAACAAAAATAAATATTTTGATCAAATAATTTCAAATTTTTTTAAATAGCGTAGCACTATACACTATTAATGAAATGAAAATATAATATTTTATCATTATTAAAAATTCTTTTTAATATATAGTTTGCTTTTTAATTTTATGTTGTTTATGTTTATGGAACTTAATAGATAAATAATCAAAATACTCAAGTAAATCTAAGTTCTCATTTTTAAGATTGTTTAAAAAGTTTCAATTTACCTATTAAGAAATCTAAGGTATAAAATAATTTAGAATTTATAAATATTTAATTATTGTAAATATTGATATGTTCCCATGAAATTTCAAATGTTTATCTTTATACTCATATTTATTGATTGTAAATTTTTATTGATCGTCACTTTATTTTTTAATATATCTTAAAAATCAACATATGTCAAATTATTAAAAATCTTATAAAATACTTGCATTAAACGGTAAATAAAACTAATTTGATTTGATTTAATTAGAAAAATATATATAACTCAATATACTCACAAAACGAGTAATGTGGAACGAATCTAACTACAACAAGAACATATAATTTTAGAATAATTATTTATTTATTTTTATACATATAGATTACAAAATGACTCAAAAATATCAATATAGAAAAAAAAAATTCTTAACCAAGTGTTATAATTCAGTTTTTTTTTTGTAAAATTTATATATATATAAATGAGACTTCAGAATATTATCGTTATATTCATTTATATAATTTTGTGTCAAAATTTCAGTTTATTTTAAATTTCATTATAAGCATATTATATATTAAGTTATATATAATCTTATTAAAATATATTTACATATATAAGACGATAACCAATCTAAATACAATAATAATTAAAGTTTTAGTATATTTAGAAGGAAAATATTATAGTTGAATTCAGAAAAATAGATGCAATCTAAAATACACAAATGTAAACAAATCGATTATTGACCAAAAAAAGTAACCTAACCGATTAAATATAACATCTACTAAATCATATGTCTAATTAAAATAATCTAATATTATTAATATAAGTTATACATATAAATTATAAATTAATTTATAATTAAGAGTAAATATCTATGTAAATTAATAAATTAGAATATATTAGAATATATTTACTTGATAAATATTCATATTCGTGCATGAGCACGGGAAAATCACCTAGTAAATAAATATATATCTATCTATCTTGCATCAAAACTTAAACGCGGCAGAGAGCACAATATCGATATTACAACTTAAGCCCCATTCTAGTAGTTGAGTGAGAGATACACAGAGAGCCTGATTAGTTGAGCCCACTTTATTAGATGCTATGTTCCTCCATCCCCACCATGTAATTAGAAATGATCTAAGACAGCTATTTATGTATTCAATATAGCCAGAGCCGGGCTGAGCCCATTCTTGTGAGACATTTTTAATGGCCCCAACAATTTTAGTGGTCTCTATTTTCCAAAAAAATAACATATGTATTACTCCTTCCTTTCAATATAGATGATGTTTTAGGAGAAGTTTATTGTTTCATAATAGATGATATTTTAATATATCTAGGTAATTTTAATTTTAGTCAAATACTGTGTAGCCAATGATATTTCTACGATTTTTGTTTATAATTAGATAAATTAGTATTAAATTATTTTTTTACTAAATCTTTTTTTTTTAAAGTAACTTTGTTATACATGTGTAGAAAACCAAAACTTCATCTAAAAATAAATGGAAGGAATAGTTTTTTAAAATATGTTTTTATTTGATTATAAAAAAGAAATTGAATAAACCCCAATTTTTTCGGGCCCGGCTCTGAATATAGCAGCTACTTAACAAAACTATTGCAATGTATTTTATTTAGTAAGGGAACTTGGAAGAAGGAGTAGACTGTTGCAAACAACACGAGGAGTCACGGTGCTGTGTTAACGGAAAAGTTGTTCGACGCAAGCAGCTAGTAAGAACATCGCTAGAGGAAAAAAAAATTGCTACAGGAAATAAAGATGAGATGTGTCGTGTCTAGTAACATGCATAAGATCAATCAAGGAGATGCATGATATAACCAGATAGCAACGATCAACTGTTATAGACAAGCAAAACCGAGTTTTAAATGCCCGCTACCGAATAAATGGATCATTATGCAGAGTCATGCTATATATAGCAGATCTATTAAGTGCTAAAATGACATGAGAGATATCGAAATGGCATTTTGCAACAAAAACGCTGTGTTCTATAAGCGAACAAGTTCAGTATTCTGAGATGAGATGACATGACCATGACCGCTTAAACTTTCTCTTATGTTAGGATGAGATTTTCATCATGAAAATAATTTCGTTTGGCATTTCACCATAAAACAGAGTATATAATATATACTTCTGAAAACTTAATTTTCCTTCTTATATTTGTCTAATAAGTTTCTTAAAAAAATATTACAAGATAATCGTTTTAAAGTTATTATTGTAGTTGTAGTTTTCATAAAATAGAGGAGTGATGACTTTTCTCCTTACCTCCTCTTTATTCTCTTTTATCAACAAAAAATCTAACTAACATGATCTATACATTAGTTCCTAAGTTTTTGTCTAAATGTTATCCACAAATCCTCCTTTTGCGATAAAAGTTAAGCAAAATACTCTCTTTTAGAAAACAAAAACCAAAATACTGTCTAAATGTTATCCACAAATCCCCCTGACACACATTGTCTAAAGTACTTATTTCTCAATAAGTTCATATAATTTGAAAGTTCACTTAAACTTTTGAGTAGACAACAAGTTATATATTTATATATTTAAGGAAAAGTAGAAAAAAAACATCTCGAAATTCTATTTGATTTTATCAAATTTAAAACACAAGAAATTTTATTTTATAAGAAAAAAGGAATAATGAAGTTATGAATTATAACAATTTTGTGAAACGATTATTCAATCTGAAATAAAATAACCTAGTCAATCAATGAAATAATAACCTACTCAACCCGTGGAAAAATAAGAAGATAACCTAGTCAATCCTTAAAATCTAAAAACTAAAATTAGATATGTAGCTCAATTTTGGGTTTTCATAAAAAAAACTAATTTAATTGTTTTTTGGTGCATATGAACTTGTCAATCCTATTTTTAATTAAATTATTGGATAA